GGTAAGTGTTTTTTTTTTTTTTTTGTTCACAATTAGAAAGGAAGAGAGGGTTTTTCTAATACACACTATTGTCATGGAATTTCGAACCTGAGACTACTGGGCAATGCCATTTTCCACTACGCTAGACCCCGTTGGTGTAGGGTAGGTGTTAAAAGATTAAAGATTGAAATTACAGTAATTAAATATGCATCTACCACAAAGTTAATTGAACAATCAGGTTTCAATATGTATGGACTTTCCGTACAAGCCCATAAAATAAATACACAACTAGCCTAGACATGATTGCATTGGTCCACTTGGTTTGCACCAAAATGAAAATGTAAATAAACTTATCCACATTGTCATTTTGAATATTTGAAATTCCAATTATGATAAAATTGAACGTGGGTGCTAGCAAATGCTTTTTGTTGTTGTTTTTTTCGGTTGAATAAAGAAACATGGAAAGGGGTCTCAGGAACCAATGCCTAGCTCCATTGTCTAGTTTTGTTGGTCAATTATTGACAAATATGATCATTTCCTAGAGCTGACTACAAGTGCTTTCCACCAATAAATATTTGATGGGTTAACGATCTCATGTTATTATGAAGAGACTCACATGTTTTAAGATTTTTTAAAACTATTTAAAACATCTTAAGAGAGAGAGAGAGAGAGAGAGAGAGAGAGAGAGAGAGGTGGACTTGGGAAGCAAATGTTGATTTTTGGTGGTGTCAATAGTTTCGGGTAATCAAATTGTGATTTTTGGCTCCTAATTATACAATGATTTGTCAACTATATAAAATAAGAAAGTAAATCCCTTATTTAATCAAGGAAATAAATCTCCTTGATTAATTATGAGACTCACGTCAACATGTTTTACTTACGTGGTTTTGCAGTGAGATTTTCTTATAGCAAAGTAGAGTAAGCCTTTCGTCACCTTTTAAGTTATAGGAGAAAACAAGATGAGAAACTTGATAGGTCCAAAGATTTAGTTTGCTTTGGCCGTCAAGAAATGACAAGAGCTTTTAGTGAGCATTACTCGGTTAATTCATGGTTCTCGAAAATTTACCCCAAAATGTTGAAGTTGCATGGACACAGTCCACATAGTGAACATATCAGGTTATATTCGTCATATTTTTGCTATGATATCATAAGTGGAGTTTTGGAGTAGTAGATTTCTCGATGCTATCTATTGATGCAAGTCATCATACATTCGTGAATAACATCATAACCGGTGAGGTTGCTCGTCGGTCTCCTTTTGTTGCGGCTTATGTTCTTGCATTGGAGGGTAAAGTACATCGTTGTTTCACAATTACTTAGTAGAAAGTTATTTTGGTTTCTTTGCATCAAAAAAGAGAAGAGGGGGAGGGGGAGCGAAATTTGAACTTTTTTTGGTCAAAAATGAGGATTCGAACTTGAGACTTGTTCTAACACTAAAAAAGAAATATCATTAGATTAAAACCTAAATCGGTAATCTTTATTAGGTTTACTAGGTGTTGTTCAACGAATATTGTATGGATAGAGGAGGGTTCCCCTTAGTTGGATACTCATTCTCAGGAATGACTGTTCCTTCTGTTTCAGTGGAATGAAAATCTCTTGAAAGATTAAGAAAATATCAGTAAACACATGTTGTCAGAGCAAACGAGAAAATTCCTCTATAATGTTCCAAGTTTATCTGACATGTAACATGTGAGACGACATTTTCTGGTCAAAATGTAAGACACCATTGTCTAGCATGGCCCACTGAGAAAGAAAACGAAGAAATAGACCCACCAAAATGATGTTTTTCAAGTGTTGGCAAAGATTTCAGAAGGAAAAGAGCCCTCTAGCTAGTGTGCGGTCTGAGACTGATAGAAACACAGAGCTCATTAGTCTGAGCCTCTGAAAGGAGAAAAAAATGTATATCATATGGATGACACTGTTTTGCTATCTTCAATCAATCACGTTTTGCTACATATGGTAATTTTTTCATATAGCAAAATGTGATTAGTTGAAAATAGCGAAACATTGCTATCCTCGTGCCATGCAAGTTCTACGACTAGTGGTGGCTATGATGCTTCTAAGCAACTACACCAGATAAACCTCATTGATGGCTCAAATCGTATATAAGTAACTTGCCATTAGTGTTTTTTTTTTCTTTTGGTTTTCTTCTTTCTTTTTTTGCTGTCAGTCTTCGCAAGCTTTGGTTCATAATCCTTTTTTTCTTCTACTTTCTGCGGTC